GCCCCCCGGGTCCCGCTCTCCCCTCACCCGACACGGAGGTTACAAAAACAATACGTGAAACCGCGGAATTAGTTGTAAAAACGGACAGGGAAGGGGGTCGCATGCACTAAGGACTAACACCGAGGGAGCGCCGGGACGGCCGCAGGGAAACCGAAACCGTTAAGCAGCTTACCGGGACCTGGAAGGGGAGAAACACCTGCGGGAGCCCCCGCGCCCCGGGCACGCGGCCCCGAAACAGCACGTGCAGACGCGTTCCCGCTTCCGCCGCGCGGAAACGTTCGCGCCGGCCGCCCCTCGTCAAAGACAGCCGCCGAGCCGAGCCGACGAGCAGCGGCCAGGCTGACGCCCCGCCAGCGGGCAGCTCGGCGGGCGGCAAGTGCTTTACTCACACAATTCTCACAAAATACCGATCCTCGGGGTGACGAGCGCGGCTGGCGCGGCAGGGCGGCCTTCCTCCCCTAGTGTGAAATAAACCTAGTTACAAATAAGCTAGTTACAATAGGCAAATTCCTCCCACACGTTGTTAGGACGCAGCCGGTGGCTCCGTCCCAGGAGAAGCGGCAACACACCGACACGGGCGGCTCGTTTCCTCGCCCCGCCCCTGGATTTGGCTCCATCCGGAGTCACCTCTGCCACTCGGCCACGTTCTGCCTGACCGGCCTCGAGAAACATTAACACCAACGCTTTTTTTTGCAAGTCAGAAAACTCCACCGAGGAAGCTCCGACTGCGGCGTGCCCAGCAAACAGGCAGGCTAGCTGTGGCCGTACTCCTCTATAGCAGAAATCAGTCCAGATTTTCCACCGTTTTGCTTACGCCCCGTGTCTGATCTGTAAAGGTTCTAAAACCAGACTTGAGCCCATCTTAGAAACGTGCTCCAGCCGACTCGGTCGTCCTCACAAAGGTGAGCAGCTTTCGAAACAGGCAGATCGGGGCCAAATTTTGTCTGTCTTGACTTAGCTGGAATAGTGAGGCAACTCTCAAGCGCTGGAGACGTAAAAATGAGGTGGCTAAGCACTAAAAGGAAAAAAAAAAAAAAACAAACCCACTTCCGAATTTCTTTTAGCATATATAAACAGAAGGAAAAATTAATTAAGTGAGAACCAGTGCTACTGGCGTGCTCACGAAGGGTCAGGTAGATCTTTTGGAAAGGGCTGAAGCGTTACAAACGTCACGGCAGCTCAGGTCTCCGACCACAGCGCTGCCCCTGACTGCCGCGTTCGCTGGGTCGGGACAAACACAGTGTGTCAACCACTGGCCTGAATTGAAAACGATCCGTCCAGATTTATTTATTCCTACTAAAACAAAATCCTGTTAAACAGTACGTAACTCTGTGTCTCTACAAACTCACAGCTATCTGCCAAACAATAAAAATTCCAAACTACAAAAGATGAGTTGTATTCAGTAAATATAAATGGGAAATTTAGGCTTTGTGTAGAATGTTTATCAGACTATTTACAGTGCAACACAGATCGTTTGAGTTCAGATCTCGCCAGCTTCTCTCTCTTCTGATCTCTTGGAACGAGATTTGCCATTTGTGCTCTCGTGCCGCCTCTCAGAAGAGCTCTTCTCTTTTCTCTCTCTGTCTCGTGACTTTTCTCTTGAAGATCGATCTCTAGAAGATCTGAAGTACAAAGTAAACCGTCGCTATAAGCTTCAGAACTAAAAAAATTTTCAAATACGCATAAAGTTACAACATCTTTCCCTAACAGGGCTGTGGCATAACACAAGTTTCTTACGGAAATGTGCCTAGGTACTGCGACGTCGGGAGTGCTGTCCCCCAAGACAGCAACTCTGGTCCCTCTACAAGCTTTATGTAAGAGAACGCCAGTTTTGCAGCGCTGAGTGCACGGCGCAGCCTTTGTTACTCCCTCCTTAGGGTGATCCTTTCAAGCTGTTGCCACAGGGGCTCTCTGAGGTCTTCCCTGGGCCCCTTATTAGTTTACTGGGCCATACTAAAGTGCCTGCAATTTCTTCCTCGTCTATCACTCAGCTCTGCTCGTGTCTTCCAGAGTGTTTTTTCATTATGCTCTAAGCTAGCGGCTTTCCGCTCAACTGCTTTAAATACCAACCGTATTCTTTGGACTCAAACGCTTGCTCAGCCCTGGGCTGCTTCTGCTTTCCATCCTGACAAGCGTTGTCCTTGGCAGCATCCTGGGTTCAAAGCCAGGATGATACAGATTTCTATTCACAGCCCACAACGCGGGCAAATCTTTTCACAGCCTGCCCGAATGACGGCTGCAGAGTTTCGGCAGAGCTTCGCTGCATCGGCCCACACAGAATTAAGCAGAGGGCTTCACGGTAGGTCCAATCTGAAAAGGCTGTTTTCCTGCGTGATTCATGCCAGCTTGTCGACTAGCAGCCTTCAAAAGGTGCTGATCCTGAGCGAGCTCTAGCGGCCCGTACCCCTTCAGAACCAGGCAGAGGCTTTCACAGACCCCGCAGAGCCAGCACGTTTTACTCTAGGACTCAGTAGGCAGGTTTTTCTTTACAGTCGCAAGAAGAGGACCTGGCAGGTACCTTAGAGGTTCCAGCTTTCATCCGTGCCGATTGTAAGGCTCGGAAATACTGCAGAATTGATATATTAAAACCTTACAGCCCTCTGTATCACATGAACCATTTCATTTGCATGAAATTGTGTCATTTCACCAGAAGACAACATGAGTCACTCTGATGAGATTAACTCTCTTCCTGTGCCCACAACAATGCCTGCTGCCCGTAGTCCTCCTACCCCGAGATCTCCAGATCCTGCGACAGGCTCTCCATTTCTTTATACAAGTGAGACCTCAGACCAGCAGAACCCGCCGAATGCAGGTTTCATTAATTCTCGAGGTGAAAACAGAAGCTACACTCTTTCAGGGAACAGGGATTTTCTGTTTGTTCTCTTGGTTTTGTTTTATTTTCTTAAACTGATCCTGGTCTCTCCCCAGTCCTCAGCAATTTTGTGGAAGTGTGTCAGCTAGCCAATCCCCCTACAGTCTCGATGGGCTGATTTGAATGTGTTCAAGGTTTTCGAAGTAATCCCTTACCTGCTCTTTAGTAATAGTTATTACAGGGTCTTCCTCACTTCCTAATTGTCCAAACTTCTTTTCTTTATTTTTCATGTTCAAGACAGATTTAAAAAAGGACTTTAGTATCTCAGCCATTGGAGAATCAACAGTATTTACACACCCCCCTCAATTATTAACAGACTTATTTTTTCAGACCGTTAGTTCCCTCCCACTCATCAGGTATCTTTAAAACCTGTTCTCACCCCTTAGCTAAAGTGACACAAGACACACAACAGTAGGTTTGTTTCTAGAATTCTACTTGAGTGGTGGTGCCTAATCAGGTGAGACAGTGCTAAAGCACTCCCCTATTAATTAGGAGCATTTAAAAAGAGCCAGATCTAACTTCAGCAAGCACCCGGTGATAGATTTGCTCCTGGGCTTAGAAGGGCTGTAAGGAAACACAATGATTCCTTTCAATTTTTCTAATACTCCTACATATGCTTGCCTCATCCTTCCTCCAACACAGTGGGTGTTTTGCTGACTTTCAGAAGAGACTGAAAGCCCTTCTTTGGACTATAGTGCTTCTCCTTAGCGACAGGAGAATGGTATACTCCTCCTCCTGGCTTCCTTTTCCCCTCCCTCTGGTGCAGATTCCTAAAGAACCGTCTGTCTCTCGACCAGCCTTCTAACAGAAGACTTCCCCCAGATCCCAAATCATACACTTCCTTCCCCTTGCCAGCACTGACAGAAAGAAGCGGGGAAGCAGAAGATAACCATAGAAATGTAACGTCAGAACTGCCTCTCAGTTACTTGGCTTTTACAGGCCTGGGGAGGCTCAGTTAGCTCAAGCAGGCCTTTGTGCTGCCTTCTCATACAAGAAAAGCAGCAATTTCTCAAGGCTCAGCGCTGCAAATCAGGGAACCAGTTCTATCTCCTCGACTCTCCTCCCAAGCTGGGATCTCGCTGGACAGTTACTGCCCTATGCTCTCACGTGAGGCCATCTACGAACGGCCACTGGGAAATCCTGCTTTGGCCCAGGAGCTGGCACAGGACACTGCAGCTGCTAACTTGAGAAACCAGTCATACTCCTGCTCACTCTAAGGGACTGGGGAGGCTCACTGTGATGCCACGGACTCCCCCCTCCAGAAGCACTCGTGTCAGGAATACATACTTGTGTTTTGAACTCCTGTCTCTGGACCCCCGTCGGTGACCTCTGCTGTGGCTGCGGGAACGGCTCCGGTGGCGTCTGTGTCGGTCTCGGGACCTGGAGCGAGACTTCCGCCGTTCACGGGAAGCCGATCTCGAGCGTCTTCGCCTCCTATCCCGAGACCGTGATCTGAAGAGGACACAGATTGCCTCAGACTCAGGAGACGGGCCAGTACATCGGACCTGTACACCTGAGCCCGTCTCTCAGACATTCCTGAGTAACAAATATCCAGAGCGTCAGCCCTCACCCCCCCAGCCGCATCCCTGACAACACAGAAGGCAGATCACCCACAGGGTGGGCATCGCCCTCCTGGGCCTCATGCTACCAACAAAATGCCAACGGGTAAATTTGAGTTGCTGGGAAGCTTATATAAAAAGTTCCCACCATTAACGTAAGCATGTGCCGATGCCTAGAGCAGAGCTTACCAACCGCGCCTCACTCAAAGTGAGGCCTCTATAAGTAGAAGAGAGGCCAAAGTAAGTGGCATGTGAAATTACCATAACCCGTATGGCAGTCTGCCAAAAGAGAGTCTCCCTTGTGAAAGTACTGCACTTTAGAAGCAGATTTCTTTCAATCTGCTCTAAAAACAAAACAAAGCATGCCAATGTCTATGGAAAGCAGTAGAGAGGAAGATCTCCAGGTACGTGATCCCTGAGAGAAGGCTGTCATACCGCTAAGGCAAGCTCTTCACAGAGATGGGGGGGCTTTACTCTTGAATCTCTGTATTTTTACATCTGAGGTATTATATATGTAACATGTATTTCAGACGTTAGAACTCTGAAAGCGTATTAGGTATTTATTGAAAAAGGCATCAAGTACATTCTTAGACTCGTACTCCGGAGCACGCAGCACCCTCTGTCCTGACCAGGCTAGCCAGCATCCGCTCTCTAGCCCAACGGGTGACATTAAGTTGCACAGCACCACTGAAGTGCCCGAGCGGTAGTGCCCATTTCTTTCAGGGAGCAAAACAAAGACACTGGGGCACTAAGTGAACTCCACTTGTGAGACCCAGGAAAAACCTCAGTAACTAGACAGAAACGCAAATAGGCATTTGGGAGAACTGTAGGAGAACTGCGCACTCACCTTCGACGATCTCTATTTCTTGATCCAGACCTAGAAAGAAGAGGAGAGTTAAGCAAGAGAAGGTATGATATAGTCAGTGCGTTTTCAATAAAACAACCCATTCACCCTGGCAGCTCTTCACAGGAACACAACAATACCCCAAGTAATGTGTCAGCTAAAAAAAAAAGCTTGCCATAAAACCATTAAAACATTTAATCATCTTCAATTTGGGGGGTGGGGGGAATGGGAATTTGTCAAAAACTGAAGAACTTTGTAGAAACACTAGTTTCTACATGCAGAGCTTCTTGTCAGAACAGAAAAGGTCTATAAACCAATTCAGTCTCTGTTAATAAAACACCACAACGAACCTTTCCAACTTTAAGTTTGCTGTGCCTATTTGACATATACACTTTACCCTCTGCAGTCTAACATCAACTAGATCAACTCTAACATTTTCAAAAAAACCATTTTCATTCCAGTCAGAAAGACACTTGTCAGTTTTCTGATTGCGGTTCCTTTGAGGTAGTTGCACATTAAAAAGGTTTTAATGAAGACAAAATACAGGATTTTCTCACTCATCATATTTATTTAACAAACATTAGATGGAAATTTGCATCAATGATTTTTTTTCTTGTTTGGGAAAGATGAGCCAGGAAAAAAAAAAAGAGAGGGGACACAGACACCAGGGAAGAACTATTACTGAAAAGTAACTGAGATCATAGAAAATCCTTCATCCCAGACTTAGAAAGCAACCTGAGAACCATCATCCAAGTCTCACTATTCTTTCTCACATTTCCATGGCTTCAGAGCTCATGTACAGCACTCTAACCCTAACGCTCTAAGCATTAGCTTTCGACAGTCTGTAAATAACAATGTCACGATTCTTTCAACTTCTGAAGCGCCATTACTCAGCACCACTTAAAGTACCACTCCACGTGAAAGATATGCCCTCCCTTTTTCTCTACAGCCACGTTTCAGAGCCAGCCTACACCAAAACTTCACACACTGTCCAAACAGTCTCTTTTTGCTCTAATTGAGAAGTGGCCGGTCTCCTTGTCCAGTGACTTAGAGACTCACTCTTGAAACTGTTCCCGTATCCCCACTGCATACAGTCTCGCAGGGGATGTTCCAGTTACACAGCCACAGAGCTGTTCTGGCACTGTAACAGGAGATGCAGCTGCAAGTTACACACAGACAAAATTTTAAAAAGCAATAGAGAAGCATCTACTTTAATAATATCATTTAAAACCCTACCTGGATAAGACAAGATTAAGAGAATCAATGTGCACTGACATTCCTTCACAATGAAATGGGATTGTTCAATCACGGTAGAAAGAAAAAAAAAAAACCAACACAAAACCCAACAAAATTTAGAAAGGAATTCAGGTAGAAGGAGTGTAAACAAGGTGGAGCTGAACTCGGAGCCAGGCAAATGAACCGTGCGCTGAGGCAACACACAAGTCGACCAGACGAAGGAAAAGCTGATAAACCAGGAGAGCAAGGCGATAACCACACACCTCCTTTTCATGTAACAGAACCTGACAGAGCAGCAGGACCTCCTGTAGATGCCTGGCAGGCAGCTGAATTTTTTTTGGTGGTTGTAATTACTCCAAGTTCTTAATGTTCTTTGCCTCCTGATCACTTTATTCTGAATCACCAGTGCACGCATCCACACAAAGCTATTCCACATCCCCTGAAAAACCTGGCTGCCCTTCCACGCCTACAATCCGAGCAGGAGTTTGCACAATAAACTCCCGATAATCACTCCCTAGCGCTAGACTTCAGAATTCAGGAAGCATCCAACAAAACAGCACTTTCCTTACTAGCCTGAATACAGCAGGAGATGGTAGAAGACTGCTGTCCAGAGGAGTGAGAGGCTGAGCATATTCCCCCCCCCCTCTTTTTTGTCCCTGCCTCACAGAGGCTATGTGCCGAGTTTCATAACCTGTGTTTTGTCCAACTTATTACAAAGGAAATCCATTTGGCAGCTCCACCTAGTCATTTGCTTGTGTACTCTGGAAGCAAATACCAAGGTCTGCTCTTCCAAGCATGCCACCCCTCCGCAGAATTTCAGTCTTAAGATTACTGGGTAGCCCACAGTCACTGGCAACACCAAACAAAGGGCTTGTGCTTATTTACCACTAGGGGTGACAACCCAGTTCACTCATTCCTATGTGGAAATCACAGTTTAGTTGACAAATTAATAAAGTCTGTGAGAGCTAGAGTTTCACAAGTGAATCTACAGGTTTCCATAGTATGTCAGAGTGCCTATAAGCCACCAAAGACTTCTCAAAGTCAAGCGGTACTCTTCCTCTTACTGAATAACACCATGAAGATGCTGCGTATGAAGATACGACAAGAATTATGAAGGCAATATATTTGCTGTGGTTCCTTCAAGTATCAAGCTGTGCTTAGGAGAGGCAATCTGAAAGGCAGTAGAAGCCATTGATTAGCTTTTGATGGAAAAACGCCCCTGTAAGCATGGTGTTGCACAGCTCCCAGAGGAGAAGGTGCTGAGAAATCTGGGCTCTAGTCCCAGTTCTGACACTAAGTGTCCGCTGGGGAAACTATTTTCCTTCTTTGGGTCAAGTTCTCATTTTAGAGAGGCAAATAATTTGACCTCCTCTGTATGGCAATCCCGACTCCTTCCTAACATGCTTTTCTTTGGTATCTGAACAGAGGAGCATACAGATGCCTCCATATAGAGTGAGAGCAAAGGCTGGCTACAGTCTCTTAAGTAGTGCCACATACGGAACCAGCAAGAACTCAGACTTTAGGCCAACTCACTGCAGTTCTTAAACCCTTCACATTTAAAGCATTAAATATTCAAAAGTGATCTTCAAACCCCCTTATCAGATGCATCCATATATGGGCTACCTGTGAACACAAGAGGCTCCTTAACTCAGGAACTGAGATTAAAAAAAAACCAAACACAAAACGAAAACCACAGGCATGCCATAGGAGGAAGAAAGCCAGCATTCTGGGGAGATGTAGAGAACTCTTCCTGAAGGCAACTCTGCTGAGCAATTTTCACACAGAAATGAACTCCAGGAAGAAGAGGCACCATGGAGACAGACACGCTGACTCCAGGTTAAATGTGGTCCTACACTGTGGGTCACAGAGCCTGCCACGAAGCAGCTGCATGTACACTTCTTGTTTCATTTCCATCTTTCTGTCCATAGCAACAGCGTACATCAGTCCCTTTCGATTAACTCCTGCACTCATCAGCCAGTTCCAGATTCTGCAGCTCTCAAATATAACTGCATTACTGACAATCTTGCATGGATGCCAGAAAGTTGTGAGGCTCTACATGAAGTGCTGCAGTTCAGGAGAAAGCTGCAGCATGAACTGGCACTTCATATGACACCAGGTGATCCACAGGGAGAGAGAACCCACATAAAACACCCTAACTGGAGAATGCATAACAATTTGGGGCTTACATCTTCACAATACACCAAAACCACCAAGCTGCAGACCACCGAAAACCAAGCTGCTTCGATTCTGGTATTTATTTGCTAGCGTTTCCAGCAATGTATACCCAGAAGCCAGCACCATCTTAGAGCATACTGCAGTTATGTATGTCTCATGCCTCAGACATGGATGGCTGAAACACTCCAGTTTATACCAAGAGTCAAAAAGAGCTTTCCACAGGCAGCAAGACTGGTTTTTTTGACACAAGAAGTACAAGAGGAGAAACACATGCGGTAACTGGGGAGATGCTGTGACAATGAGAACAGCATTCCTACTCAGCCACTTCCTCTGCCTGACCACTGCGAATGACCACCCTCTCCACACCAGGCTGTTTCACTGAGCTGTTTACACACAAGATGCCTGTTCAAGTAAAGAAGAAATAGTTTTTCCAGTTCAGCTGGCAAGAGGCAGAAGAGCTTGTCCTGAGAATATTAACGTTGCAGCCACTCCCACTGCTCAAGGATTATACATGTATGAGCAGCCACATACAGCCACAACTAGCAGAAGCAGCCACTCCTTGGGATGCCTCAGATCCCCTGGGAAGTGTTTTCCAAAGCTGTGCCAAAAGCACCTCACTATTATTGTAGAAAAGTTTCTGAGCAAGACAGGCAGCCCACCATCTGGCTCACGGATACCAGCTCCATTCTGTTGTCACCTCCTAGCCTAGAAGTGAGGAGGGCTGTCCTGGGAATTTTTGCATGACTAGTGCCTTTTGAGCAGACCTAGCCCTCGCTCATCTTAAACTTTCCCACTCAGATGTGGGACTGGATGAAGGCATTTTGTCCAGATTCAGATTCCAAAAGACAGGGACTAGACCAATATAAGCCCGAAGACTACAGGGAGCTCACATCTTTCAGATACACAATGGCGGTTAAAACAATACACATACAATCACTCTAAGGTGGGGGGTTTGTGCATTTGTTTTCATCTTTAACTGAATGCCAAGGTGCTCACACAGCACCTGGAGCATTTCCAACAGCTGCTCCCACAGCAGATGCTGCTTTCCTACAGTGCTCAGATACAAGAAATCAGACTATTTCAAAACCAACTTCACAAACCAGTTATCAGCTTCCACTTACCGTCTGCCCATTCTCTCCTCTCGTTCTCTCTCCTCTCTCCGTCTCAAACGATCCTGGTTTCTCTTCTCTTGCTTTTCTGCCACTGTTTTCTAGAAAAAAGTTTACATCGTATTTCAGCCATACAGTAACAGGTGAGAGAGATCTGCAGGGAGACTATTCAAATAGTAAGACAAAAGGTGTAAGACAAAGAACTGTTTCACTGTTTCACTGCATTTTGCTAGTCAAGATCTCCATCGAGGTTCTCATTTTCCTCACAACTTCACTAACATACATCAGTGCAAGAAATGCCACTCCCTACTCTGCTTTGAGTGCTTGTGCTCTAAGAGACAAGCCCGTAAGCTTTGAGGCAAGGACTGTCTCACCATGAGTACACACGACACAATGAAACAGCGCTCTGGCCTCGTGCCAATGATCAATCGAGGCACTGACCTCAGTATACTGCCTAATGAATAAGGCACAGGAATCACAACTCTTCCTCGAGGAGTCTAAAGGTCTCTGCAAGCAAGGCCAGTACTGCAATTCCATTACAAACCATTCTAGAAAACTTCTAATCACTTCGGCTACTGAAGATCTTCACTGACAGCACTACGTGAAACTTCAGTTCAAGCATTTCATTAAGAGGTCTGAAAGTCCTCTTCAATAGTCAAAATACCCCCAGTGACAAATCTCAGCCAAATCAATGAGAAAAGAGCAATGGCACAGCTGCATGTATTTAAGGAAGAAATGACAGCAGTGGTCTGGTTTGACTAATTCTGAGGGTACTTATTTAGTTACCCAGAAATTACAGAACACGTGAGGCTACGCAACCTCCATTTGAAGTTTCAGGGATTCTGCAATCAGAAATTTCTGGGCTTCTACAAGCACTCTGCAAAGAATCCTGTATGAATTTAATAAAAGCATTGAATGTCTTCAGAACTACAAGGAGAAGGTTTAAAACAGACAGGATTACCCTCAGCTGATCCAGCTTCTCACGGATCTGAATGAAACCCAAGTGTAATTTGCCTCCAAAGTGGTCAGCAAGACGCCGGTCGTTGTCATGGAGACCAAGATATGCTGAACAGACTTCACACACACGCAGCTTCTGCTGCTGGAAACTGGATGCAGGCATTGAATTTCGGTATTCTTCCTAAAGGGAGGCATAAAAACAGGCAAATGTCAGGGAACCCTTACATAGTCACAACCCTCCAGGGAAAAACCTGCAAAGAATTGCCCTGCCGCTTTCAAGAACCAAAAAACCAGCCTCAATATAAAGGAAGTGCCGTACAAAACACTTTGCAAGCACAGCTAACCTGACAGTCTATCCCTGCCAAGTGACTAGTGACCAAATATTTCAGAGGACAAATCCCTCCCCACCCCAGTTAGCTATCTTCACCAGATAAAAATTTCTAAAAAGCTTTTCTTCATCTATGCCACTGCTTGCTGGCACACGGCTGAAACTGAAAAAAGGAGGTGCTGGCAACATAGGAAAAGAGGTAGGAACCGCCCAGCGGTTTGCCATGTACTCAGCCTAGCTCAGTCCGCTATTACAATTCATAGGAGAACCAAGGCCATACCTCTGCCTCTTTCTTTTTCGCTCGGACTTTCTCCACTTCCATCAGGATCTTTTGAGACTCGTCAACATTTCCTTCAGCTCCCAGCTGTTCAGCTTTAGCTAGGAGTTTTCCAATGTCTTCATTCAGCTCATGTACTTTCTCTGCCTAAAGAGAATAGTGTGTTTTTAATAAGACAAAAAACTTGCCAAAGCTTGCAGGATGACTTTTCCTTTTTCTCTAAAAAATACTGTTTAACAAAAGCAGTTAGTGGAAGATGACCATAAATCTTCAAAAGTCAAAGGAGTCCCAACAAAAAGGGACTGGTGGGCCAAGTACAGGCAATGCAGTCACAGACACATAGCAAAGAGAGAAACTAGACATGGAGAGGGCATCATTAGTTCTGCCGCAACCAGTGGCACATTTCTGGCTCGCAGGACAGGATAGAGTCCACAAAACCAGCTTCAGAAATGCTTTGTATTGTCCCGATGAAGCAAGTTCCCAAAGAGGAAACTCCATGAGCATTTACTAAGTGAAAAGACAACAATCATGGGATGGATTTACTATTCTAAGCTATTACATTAACACTGAACAGTGTGGGGGGGAAACCAATATGCTTTATTGCCATGCCAGAGCAACCTATTTTAGAGTTCATGTTTTACGCTACTATGGCCCTCTGAACCAGTAAGTTTGTCAAGAACGGCCAGAGCAGCATTTGAGGAGGATGGCTGGAATCCACAAAGCCTTTGTGGAGCCTAACTTCCCAATATCAATGGTGTCAGAGAAAACAGAGCACCGGTGCTCTCACACAGACTTGCAGAACAAATGTTTAATGAGAGGACAATACCTTTGCCGACACTTCAGCACTGATCTCTTCCTGTGTCTCAGCCAGGCGTTTCTTGGCCAGTTCTGTTCTCCTATCACACTCTGCGATGAAGGATTCCAGGTGATCCATCGCCTGCATGTTCAGACAAAGAATTGTGAATAACAATGCTCTCCATGCCAGATCTAGCTTTGGCAGCCAACAGCTAGCTGCTGCAATCCCTATATAATGCACAAACAACCTCAAGAACGGATGCCTCGAGAAAAAAATATACGACACTGCAGAAAAAGTAAAATTAGATCCCTGCCCTTAAGTCTGTCATCTGCCTGGAACCTGACACAGTTCCTTTACTCTGACATGTAACAGAATGCTCACATGAAGACTGCTTTGCACTGGAACTTCCAACGCATGAGCAACGGGTGCAAAGACAAAAGCACTGGAATAACATGAAAAGGGAAGACAGAATTGTTCTTCCACTTGATCTGTTCCATCACAGAAAGCTAAATCTGGCAAAAGTGAAACCACAGAGCAGAAGGCTTTTAATGTCAAACCTCCTTCTGGGCAGGCCACCAGGTTACAATGACCTGGTACAGAGCAGCAGGTGTGGGATGCAAGGAATGCCAGAGGAGCCTCCCAGCTAGCTGGACTAATGGGGTTGCAAGGACCATAATTACAATTTCAAGTCAGCAATCAAGCCGGCAGTCGGGAAGGGGCTGCACATTCTTGTCAGATAACACATCAAATAACATGGCTAGCTGAAATGCCCACTGAGTTCTATTGTTCAGCCAAATAACTTCAAGAGGCAGTTTCCACAAAAGTAACAAGTATTTCTCCGTACTCACATCCAGCTCAAAAAACAGGTCTCTCTCTTTACTTGCAATCTCATAATCTGCTCGCAGTGCCAAGTCATGGATCTTTGTACATTCTCCCAGGTCCATTCGCTGTTGAAAAGAAAAAGGAAAATCAATGTAAGAACCCTCCATCAGGACATAAGCAGCAGATACTTAACTCTTGCCAACTGTATCATATCAAAATACAGCCTCTTTAGGAAAAAGAGCTTCCTCTTAACCTGTCAGTAACAGAATGAGCCAGAAGAACCACATGCTTGCTAGAACCCCTTTTCTAGGTGTTCCTGGAACAACATTAAAACACCCCAAATGTTTTAAGTCCAGTCCTACTCCTGCTCTAGGGCACAGCACAGCCTTAGAAATTGCTGGGAGGGAGCTGGGAAGGCGCAGCACACTGCAGCAGCAACTCCTTCAACGGGCACTAACTCCAAATGCCTCCGATTATAGAGCTACAGCACGGCAAAACATACAGCTTTGTACCCTGTTTAAAGCTCAGCTGCAAAAGCACATCTGTGTCAGGACGAGCCCTAGTAACGTATCGAAAGATACCAAATCATAGAACACAGACAGAATGCTTCCTATCAAGAACAAATGGACTTAAGGGAGTAAGGGGTATGGCCAGTAGAAAAGCACAAACCCACGCTCAGCAACAACAGACTCATAATTCTACAGCTAGCCCCTTCCCACATTCAGCTGCAGCCTGGAATTTTAAAACCTGCCCAGCAAAGCTAATTCCTACACATAAGCCCATCTAACGAGAGACTTCTTGAGAGCATCTGCCTTCCCAGAAAGCTCTGACCTGCATGCTGCCCTTCACTCCCATTGCAGTCGATGCTATTTAAATTTGTTCTTTTTCCCCAACCTAGTAGTTAACAGCCACATGAACCAAAGTTAATTACGCTCTCAAAACATGGAAATTGCATTTTGACATTATCAATATGTAACAGAGAACATTTCTCTTATTCTTAAAATAGAAAAAGAATATGACATTTTGAAAGCCAAAATAATAAAAGGCCTAAGTGTGAGCCACGGTACGAATGGCAGGGTACATGTCATCGCACGAGGGAAAACCCCAGCCAGCCATCCTCTTCTCTCCCAGTCACCACCAGTCCCAAGGAACCCAAACCTGAACACAGCACAACAGCTGTCAACTCACTGAACTGCAGAAAAAGCTAAATACAGCTAAATTGGGATCAACACAGAATCCCTGCGGAACATCACAAACTAGAGCTGGGGGTGCCAGGGACACCTATGTGAAGCAATGCACTCGGACAGCAGCAATGATGTGTTTAGAATGAAGCAAAGCAACTGAAGCAAGCTCCACCAGGTAACGCTCAGGTATTCAGCAGTTACCTGTGTTATTAATTTTTCTTTTTTAAACAAAGAAAACAATTCCGGATGACTTGCCACTATTTAGCCTTCCTCGGTTTGCTCAGATTTACCAGAAACAGGAGGCCACAGGCAGCAGGCTACAGAAACAGACACTGCATCCAGGAATAGTCCTGCTGAGCTCTCTAACGGTGGAAATATAATGCCTACAAAAAAAAGCGTTCAGTACTTTCAGAGCTTAATCATGTTCATCTTCAGGCAAGCCTCTTCAAAGAATGCTAGCGAGGCACTGTTATTTTACCACAAAAATAACTTTGCACAACATCAGAGCACGATGTGACTTAAACCTTTTATTCTTATGGTCATTATACCGAGATCCTTTTCCAATATAGGGAGAAAATAGTGATACTCCATGTGATTCTCAAAGATCATAAATACTCTTATCTGAACTCTTCTTGCAAGCTGATCCACTAGCCCCACTTCAGAGAAGGGGCTCCAACCCAAAACTTCAGAAGAGCTGACTGTGCTCCATACTTCTCTCCCTGTTTGTTAAAAGGCAACGAATCTCTCAACCTCTTCCTCGAGGGGAGAACGTTCAGGTCTCACCAGCATACAAACCTCAAGTCTTCCTCCACGTCCTTCGAGATGATCTAGGTGCAGGGAGATTTTCACAGGTATTGCTCACTTCAGGTAAGACCACTAGCCCTTCTGTCTCAAAGAATCCTCTCGTCTCAGGGAGGCCTGTCATCAAATACTCACCCTTTCCAGCAGTGATCGTTGACTTGCTCCAGTCAACACCCATGGCTGGTTTGTAATACAGGTATTTGAGACAGGTAACCAGCAGAGCCTGAGTAAAGATTTAAACCCCCATACACACAAAAATTTAAAACATTCAGATGCCACTGATCATTAGTCCTGCTCACATTTGCGGAGCAATCCACATTCCGAGATCTCTCTTATGATCTCCACTAAACTGCTAACTCACCAGAAAGTCTATTTCCAAGAGGAAGGCTCTTCAGTAGTAATCAGGGCTGCAGAGTTTTGCCCAAGTGAAAAAGGAAAGCACAGACCCCCATGAAACAATTCTGCAACCTACAGATTTCAGCTCACTCATAACTCCCAGTAGGGGACACAATTAATTCCCTGAATGTAATTTCCAAGCTATGTTCTACCTGGGCAGCTTTCAGACTCATCTGTCCACTTATTAGTGGAGCTAAAATTCAGGAGGATTACCAGCTGATGCCACGTACGAATGTGCTGCAGTACTTCCACTGACAGAAACATGCTTGCCATTAGTTGCAAAGCTAACTCAGTGCAGGCCACTAACAATCTAGTGACAAGTCCCCTGAAAACAGCACATGTGCATATTAAACTAACTTGTGTTCTCCCAGAATTTTACTCCTTTCTCGTGAAGGCCAAAAAGAGAACCATCGCAGCTTGTGTAGCGATAAGTTTAGACAAGTTGCTGGGGCCAAAGGCTCCTGTGACCAGGAACACTGGCCCACCTAAACAAAGCAAACATCAGCATGCCTTCTGCAGCTCTCAGGAATATTCCAGAGCTTTACTTAGAGTCTGGACTCTTTCTCTTACTCTGCACCTGAAGGTCAGTGAATGAGACTCCATCACATTTCAGTGAGCACAGCTACCCAAGGGATCCAGCTTCCTGCCCGTCTCCAATCAGCCTCCCACTAAGGAATATGTGCACGCGTGAAGGATGCAGCAATAACAATGCCTTCGGGGGGAGGATGCAACATAACCAGCACCAGAAGGCTTGGAGCATCTGTTGGAAGTTTCCAGAAAGATCCAAGGTCCTGATTTCTGCAATAATACACATCCAGAGATGGATGCTACCCCATCCAGCTGAGGCTGGTTCACCCACAGAGCTCTTCCCTTAATGGAGCACCGTTAAGATGCCAGTGAACCTGACCAAGATCGCAAGGAAAGCCTGCGCATTCCAGTTAAGTTTCCTTCTGTGCTGGTAGTGCTAACAGCTGAAATTCTGTTCCCATTCCGGACATCACATCTTCTTTCAACACAGATCTGTGGCACCAATACTTTTTCTTGCCCCTAAGGACCTGCTGACAGCAGCGTGAGAGCTCCACAGCCACTTAAAGGCCACCACAAGATCATCTGAGTGATCCACAAGATCACTTGCGCAGAAGCGGTCTTCCTGCTCCTCTGCAAGATTTGTGAGCGCAAATTCCACAGCAAGAGGGAAGAGACAACTCACTGCAGACAAGTAACAACAGAAGAGAAACAGATTTCTCAACGTGCTTCTCTGCCCCGGGAGACTCGCAATGCATCCGAACATCTCCGACTTCCTCAACTTCCTCCGTGCTTTGGCACTAGCTCTAACAGCCACGCACATCGCTTAATTCAACCCCTTCAACTCACCGTTTACCTTCTTCCTGGAAATGTGCCAGAAGAGGTAGAAGGCAGCCTGCATCTTCAAAACACCGTCTGGGCCCCAAAAAACTGTTGTAGAATCTCATGTCAAAAAATATACCCTAACCACAGTGACCCGCACAAAGGACGGAGGCGGGCAGAAGGTGATTGCAACAGCTTTAAAATTCTGAAACGGAAGTGAGGTGACACGGAGGCTGATGGAGCGATCGCTGGAAAATACATCTGAGCTTCAAATTAATAAAAAATAAATATAGAGATATACAGAGATTGGTATTCAACCTCCGATCTTATTCTGCAATAGCAGCCACTGAGAAGCTAAAGTTTGAGCGCTCAGAGCTGAGGCAGCTTTTGCTAAAGCTCTTTCTACTCGTGCTGCCAGAGTCTTGCCATTGCAGCGACACAGAGGAAGGAGTGCCAGCCCTCCCCTTTGTTGGTAACCCACTGTGTCAAACCCAGCTCTTGAAATAACAGCAGGAAGGGCTATAAATAACGATGGTATCCTTAAACAATCTGGTTAAGTTGATGGACAATGTGAACCGCCACCGTATTTACTGTCAAACAGCGAGGGTAAAGATGGATTTCAAACATCCATACTCATCTCCATCCTGCAATTCTGTAATACAGCAACAATTAACAAAAGACGTGCACCATTTTCGTTTGAAAGTCGCAATGCATCTTTCACCTGGGCGCCTAAATTGAATACTTACTTCACAAGATCGCGCTGTTAAAAGCCCACATCACCTTTTGCTCTGAGAGCACGCGAGCCAAACCTTTGAAAATTGGCTAGCTCTGTCCCCAGAGGGCAGCAGCGAAGGCGCCGACTCAACTGTTTCAAACCAGTCAGGCAGTGACACGCTGCTCAGGCCAACCAACTCTAAAGACAAAGTCGGCCTGAGCTGTAACCTGCCATTAGCACGCCAACCAGCAATGATGAAAAAGCTGCCATTCCATCAGGAGAACATCACGTGGCTGGAGAGGGGAGACTGAAAAGCTCCAAGGATTAAGGATTATTGCAGCTGGTGGGAAAAAACTTGCTAACCTAAAGATGCAGCAGTGAACTAGAGCACCCAGGAGAGCAGGCTAGCTATGATCTTGCAACCTCCACAGGACAAGTTTCAGGCCCTAACCATCTCAAACTGCTAAAAGAGAAATAATCTTGCAGCTGGGGGATTGTGAGAGAAAAAACATTTCAAGCAAATTCTGAGAGCTCCTGACTTCAGCGGTTCCACACACAGGTCACAGAAACTGAAATTAAAATTGTGACTGCTCCTTGGGCACAGAAAGTCCTGTCTCTCCTAGAAGTTACCTACGATGCACAGATGAGCCCTGAAGAGCTGTACCAACGTCTGCCTCAGCAGAATTCCTTATTACAGAGAATATACTTACCGTTCCGGCCAGGATATCATGAGGACAGCAATCCAGAAGGTGGCTCTTGCAAACACGATCGTCTGTAAACTTCACCCTTTGTCTGGTTTCATCTCCTGAAATTCATTTGTGGTTTTAAATAAGGAGACATTAGAATACCGATAAGAGAACAAAGATGTCGGTATGATCATTTCGCCTCAATATGCAGATTAAAATACTTGGTGTTCCTGCTCCCCAAAATTACTCGAAAAAAAACTTAGAGGGTAACAGGATATTCTGGAACACTTACAATTGGCAACAAACACTATTTTAGCGTTTATTCATCCAGTACACCATGTTAAACACAGTGTTGGCGAGCCAAGTAACATCCAAGGCCTGTCATCCATATAAAGAGACAGCACAGCCCGAAGAGAAAAAAAGGAGACAGACAGTCTGGCTCGCAGCCAAAACCTTTTATTTCCCCCCCCCGCTTTTTTACTGTGAGGAAGGGGCAGGAGGTACCGAAACCCACGCTATCGGAGGGCCATGAATCACAAAACAGGGCTGTGCTGGACAGTTTTTATAGGCGATTGCTATTTGCTCATCTGATAATTAAGGCATTGGTCCATTCGCTTTGAAAACCAAATATGCAGTGTGCTTTCCAAGGCCGTGCAAAGACGAATCTTGTAGGTCTTGGCCTGGAACACGAAGCGTGCTTCCCACCCACGTCCCACCCTCAGAAGACATTTTACACTCAGGAGCCACTTAAACAAGACAATATCAGAAAAGCAAAAAAATAAAAAATAAAAAAAGAAACAAAGTTAGTCAATACACACTGCGAGCTCCAACATATACTATACCCATCTGCATTCTTCAAGACCTCAGCTGCAGAATTTTATGCCCACTGTTGAAAAGTTTTAAAGGAAAAGTTTTCTTGCCCACACCTGCAGTAAGGAAGTCAGGGGAATGATACATAAAAGTAAAGGCAAAGTGGTAATGGTATGTGACAATTTTAAAGCTCATCTGTGTATATGACACAGGTATGTGTAATACTAAAGTATGAATATAGTTTAGGATTCGCAAGCATCCAGGAATAATGTTGTGTCTACTGAAAATGGTTTTTTATTTTTATTTTTTTTTTTCTTTCTAAGCTACACTTTTAAAGTTACTTGTGAAAAAAAAGCAAACACTTTTTTTTTTTTTTGTTATAACAGCTTTAAAAATTGGTTGTGACTCACGGCTCGATGAACATGAGGCTTTTCTGCAACTCCCTTGCAGATTGATGTAGGCAGGCAAAGATACACTGAACCTTTATAAATAAAATAGAGGGGCCACAATTGTTCAGTTTGTATGAAATAAAAATATGGGAAGCAATTCAATAGCAACTCAATACACAAAGAAAGAAACGCACTTATTCACTTACGAAACAAAGTGCAAAGTACCTGAACAGCCCTGCTAATCGTGCCAAAGGAAATTTAAGTACTCAGCAAGTCGCAGAAGGGAGATACAAACCGCAGCGGGAACATATTTTGCACAGGCTGTCACATTTCTGTTCTTGGACAACAACTACAACGGCCGGCCCCCGCAGGCACACCTACCTACATGCCTCTATGTACGGCGTGGCCTGGGCGCGGAGCTTTCCCTAAAACCTCTCTGCGGCAGCCGGGGCCCG